TCAAACTCATTGACCTCAGTGAAGCTACATCAATTCCCACCCCAGCTGGGAACGTCTCTGACTTTCGCTAGCTCTATCCCTCCCTCCCGCCCCGGATCACCTTATCCCAGGCTCTGATGCCCATGGCCAGGTCCAAGATCCAGTTCAGGAGCTGTAGAAGTAGCCGGGTGAGATTATCCATTGACCCAGCTCTGTTTTCCTTTCAAGTCTGTTGTTGTCGTATGGGGTTCCAGGAAGCCCCTTCCCCTGCCCCATCACCGCCAAGAGGTACAAGCTGCCGGATGGCTCAGTGTGAGAACTGCTGCAGGGTCAAGGTTTGCTTCTTGACACTTTGCTCATGGCAGAGAGAGGAGAAATCTCAGTAAGTCAGTGTCAGATCTTTTGCACCATCACTGAGTGGAGGAAATTGAGACACTTGACTTAACCATGCAGATATTATCTCTCACCAGCGTGCTCTTTTTTTATTTTTATTTTTTCTAGCTGAGCAGAATGAAGCTGTTGGTTTGTGTCTTCCTGGCCTCTCTTGCTGCTGCTACTGCTACTGCACATCTACAGACAGACCCGACGCTGGATAACCACTGGGAGCTCTGGAAGAAAACCTATGGCAAACAATACAGCCACAAGGTGGGCTCTGTGCAGCTGTGGGGTTAAAGTGGGGGAGGGGGATTTCCGTCACCATCTCCCCTCAGGTCAGCAGGTATCCGGGATCTTGGCATGCCAGTCCTATGCCAGCTCTCACTGAGAACGCTGCCTCCTGCTCTTCTCCTGGAGATTGCAAAGCTCTCTCTGCTTTCAGAAGTGCATTCAGTTTTAATGAACATTGGGCCTAAACCATCCCAGGGGGTTAGCTGATTTTTTAGAGCGTGTTCTGTTCGGGATATATTAGAGCCAGGTGACATTGTTCACGAACCTCTTCTTCTTTTCTTTTTTTTGGTGGAAAAATGCAGACTCGGGTTGACAGAAACAATTGACAGAATTCGTCTCGATTTTGGCAAATTTTTTCGGTCAAATTAAAATGAAATAAAATGGAAAGGTGGAAAAAATGGTTAATTTCAGCGTTTAATAAATGAACCGTTTTGACTTGTCCTTTTGGAAAGCCATTTTGTGTTGGAGTTTCCCTCCATTCTACATAACAATAACTAAATAAAAAGGTTTTAAAAGCCCCAAATTGAAACAAAACATTTGACCCAAATCCAAAAATCTTCAACTGATTTTTAAGACATTGTTTGGTTTAAAAGGTTGGTTGGTTTGGCTGCAAAATCGAAAAGTCAGTGATTTGCACAGCTGCAAGCTGTATTGTGAATGTTTGATTATTGATATTATTTTGCATCCTAATTGTATATGCAGCTCCTTAATTACTTTGGCTTAGTTGAAGGCCCTGACTGCTTGGGGTCATTAGAGAATCCTACAGTACTTTCCTCCTAAATTACAAGGTGTCATCACTGTCCTGGTGGCAATTACATTCTGCCTCCCTGTAATTCCCCCTGATGATTTAATTGGATACAGTGTGATTCTTCTCTTCTTTTCCTACCCTGTTGTGTAGTGTTGCTGTGTGCTGTTAAAAAGCTGCTGCACACCATTCCAGAACTGGCTGCATTTTGGGGTTGGGGGAAGGATTCAATCTTGCTTAACTTGTTAAGACTCCCCTTGATTTCCTAAAAAGAACAGGAGTACTTGTGGCACCTTAGAGACTAACAAATTTATTAGAGCATAAGCTTTCGTGGACTATATATATGCATCTGAAGAAGTGGGCTGTAGTCCACGAAAGCTTAAGCTTATGCTCTAATAAATTTGTTAGTCTCTAAGGTGCCACAAGTACTCCTGTTCTTCTTTTTGCGGATACAGACTAACACGGCTGTTACTCTGAAACCTGAGGGATAAAAAAGTGCTGTAGAACTATAACCTATTTATACTGCAGATGGTTTCCTCTGGGCTACTGCATAGTAACGTGGGGGCTGTGCTTTGGTTCCAGAAAGAGGAAGGGGAACGGCGCGTGACCTGGGAAAAGAACCTCAAGCTCGTTATGCTGCATAACCTCGAGCACTCACTGGGGCTGCATTCCTATGAGCTGGGCATGAACCACCTGGCAGACATGGTAAGTTTAAAAAAAAATATCGTTACAGACCAAGTGACTGGGCATCTGGGAATTATCAGTATTTCCCTGGGGCTGCCGTGGCCAGAGAATGTAACTGAATCAGGGGCAGAATAAGCGCCAGCCAATCCAGGGTCAGTATGAGCCCTGCAGAGGTAGGCCCACAATCCACAGCTCCCCTCTGTGTCCTCCAGCAGCAACCCGCCCCTGTCACCATTCCAAGAGCTATGCAAATCTTTGTTCTATTTGCTTGGGTCAGGGTTGTGTGTGGGAAATCTGCCATCAGGGGGGTAGTCCTGATTTTTTAAGTGCAGGTGCTCCACCCCCTGCTAGCCCGCTGCTGGGGTGACCCCCTCCCCCCCAGCATATTTCTGTATCAAATGGCATCCTCCAAGCAGTGTGATCTTGCACATACAGTACATGTGAGGTCAAAAGTGTGGGACTCTCATTCCCGTAGGTTCCTGCTTCTCTACCTTACTGTGTCCTTTAACTGAAATTGCAGGGGCTTGTGCATCAGATCCCATTACTGCCTACGCCAAGCATTCAGAATTTAGGAATCAGGTGCCTAAAATCATGGGGGGCTTAAAAATCCTGGGATTTAAAAAGTCTAAGTCTGGGGGCTCTTTTTATTTGCCTCTGGGTTTTGCCTTTTAAGAGAGATGTTTTCCTGCAGTTCTCCACAGCTATACAAGAGATGGAAACTTTAAAAAAAAAAAAGCTGAAATTCTTGTGCAATCTCACGACCCTCTCCCCCCCACATTGGTGCTTTAAGGAAAACATCAGATATTGTGACACTCTCAATAAAATCAAGAGTCTTGGCAATGCTGATGCTCCTGGGTAGAACTATGTGAAGAAGAGATTTTTTTGGTTTGGGGGCTGAAAAATCAATCAATCAAAAGTTAGTTTCAGATGTACCTGAAATAGCAATGGTGAAATGAAAAAAAGATGAAAACAATTCATTTAGGGTCGGACAACACATTTTGTTTAGTTTTCTAGATTGTTTTACCTCTTTTATAAAATAAATAAATAAAATCGAAGTAAAATTTGAACTAAAAAGTCATTTTGAATCCAAACATTTTGACTAGTTTTGAATTTTTTTCCCCTGCTGAAATAATTTTGCAAATTCAAGGTGAATTCACACAATGTTTCAGTCGACCCAAATATGTATTTTTCAGCCCCACCCCCTGAAAACTTTCC